AAGTACCTATTCATTTTTTTTTATTTTACTAATTGAATGTATAAAAATTAAAATTAATAAAACACTTTTAAAATTAATGGATATATTCTTATTATTTTAAAATTTGCTCATGGTTTTTTACATAATGCATATTTTCAGTGCATAATTTAATAATTTTAGGGCATATAAATGCATATATTTTCAAACTTTTTAATGCATATTTTGCTAATTTTTAGGGAATGAATGCATGCTTATTTATGCATTTTTCAGTGCATAAACTTACGAGCCCTGATAATAACTATTGTGAGTGTTATCTATTGAAAATGATAGGTCATACCCTAAACTACACATAAGTACAATAAATCAGAACTAACATAGTAAGTTATACAATTTATCAATGCTCTGAAAATAATAATATATTTAACTTAATATTGTAGATGATGGTCAATGGTCATTATATTTTATTTTTAAACAATCTATTACTTTATTCTTATATTATTTATTTAATGTCCATACTATTCATTCCATAAAGACAAATTGTGTTATTTTAATGATTCAGTATTTTAGTTAGTTAAAAACACTTTGATTTTTTTACTTAAAATCCACTATTTATTTATTAATTATTCTATAATTAAATAATTATATGATATACAAGGTCTCCTGTGAGGATTTACCCATTGCAATATCTCTGGAAATAATTGAGATATCAAAATTCTGGTTTTGTTATAAGACTCACAGGGATAAGAACTAAAATTATTTAATTTTCTAATTTATTTTAATGTTTTGGTAAAAAATTTAAAAAATATATATTATTTTAATTATTTCCAAAAAAACTGACTTTATTCATTTTGTAGTTTATTTTTCTAAAAATAATGACGTTTCAACATTTTATTTTCATTAATTTCCTGATTTTTAATATTTTCTAGTTTTTAAGAAATAAAATATGATTATAACTAGCACACTATAAGCGTTTGTCTGGTTGTATGAACATGGCCGAGGCGCTGCGGGTCACATTATGTTTGATGACACTTCGAAGTTAAATAATTTGCAATTTTTCTCGAAAATGAAAATCAGGAAATTAATGAAAATATAATGTTTAAACATCATTATTTTCTGAAAAATAAACTACAAAATGTCTATAGTCAATTTTTTTTGGAAATAATTTAAAAAAAAAGATTTTTTAATTTTAAAATATTAAAATATGATATAATGGTAGGTAGTTCTTATCTCTGTGAGTTATTACAAAACCAGAATTTTGATATATCCAGTCCCAGTGGTATTGTGAAGGGTAGTAACTACTAACTAGCCATTTCCAAATTTAAAATATTGTGTAGGGATATAAAATTAAACTGAATACTTTGCTATACAGTTTTACATTTGAACAAATTTAAGGACAAAATGGACAATAAATAAAATTTCTAAACCCATGTTCATAAATATAAATGGAACCCTGAATCACACATGCAGGCCTGGTTAATAAATCACAAATTAGCAAATGACAGAATATCAAGATAAGCTGATCCACAACCTAATAGCTAATGGTTAGGTTATTTATTAATCATTTTTGTCACACTAAGTGTGAGGTTCTGTGCAGTGAGCCAGTGACACACCCCTCACGCCAGCACTGATTAAGTTAATAGAGTTTTTCATAGTTAATAATTTAGCATTTATGATATACATTTATGACTAATCCACTGAATATAACAATATTTGCTGCCCAATTATATTAAGAAATCAAATTATAGGTTTAAAACAGTGGTTCCCAACCTTTTATGAGTGCAACCACTGCAACCCTAAAATTTTAAATTTAACTTTTGGCGACTCAAAAAAAAGAACATAATTTTTTTTCTCCGAAATTGAAATTATAATATAATAAAATATGATATGTAAATGTAAGAAAAGCTTTTGCGACCCACCATGAAAACCTCTGCGACCCGAGGTTGGGAACCGCTGGTTTAAAACATTCAATTTTGTAACTGTTAACAACAAAGTATTATTTATATTTTATAGGCAGGAGCAAATATGATAGTGTCTGGAACTGCAGTGATTCAAGCTAAAAATCCACCTCAAGTTATTCAACTTCTTAAAGATTCTGTTAATAAACATTTGAATATAAAACCAAATTATTGTTAATTTTATTTTTTAATGAAGTTTATTGTTGTTAACATTTAACATATTTATCAAGAGCAGGGATGGGTAAATTCCTTGTACCAAAGAATCCAATTAATAAAATGAATGTTAAAATTAGAACAATTTATGCAAAGTGAGGTTTTATATTYWTATAAAAAATGATATTTTCCAGGAAGACATTTAAATTTCAAATAAATAATATGTTCACTATTTGCTATTTTATTAAAAATGTACATTAATTTTAATGAGATTGAAGTTCTAAAAAAATCAATTAACCCAACCATACTTAATTAAAAATATTATTCAATAGCAAATCACTTATAATTTTTTTTCACTTATTTTGTGTTTATTGTTGTATAATCTATTATATAAATCAATCATTCTTATGTATATGAAATTAGGTATATTTGTAATAAATATTGATTTATAATTTATATTCATAATGAATTTTATAATTTTATAATATTTAAAAAAAATGTATGTAATTTATAAATAATTTATATTGCCTTCAAATTTCAATTACAAAACATTAGAACAAAATGTTACCAAAACTAGAAATTGTTGSCTTAGTTGAATAACAAAAAGTAGTTCAAACAACAATATTTATAATTAATAATGGATTAATGACTACATTTTTAAGAAAAAAATCTGCACCTGAATGATATTGAAGATTTCCAAAAACTTTTACTCTGGAATTAAACACCATAGTGAGAAAAAATTGATTAATACATATGCATATTAGAATTTTATTCGTAAACTTCAAATGTTGAATCATTAAAATTTAAATATTTTAATTCGATTTAGGACAAAATTATCAATAACCTGTCAAAGTAAAGAGGTTGGAAATATTTTTAAATCTAATCTATTGGCTATTATAAATATGATGTATTATTGTATTATTTAATAATTATGAATATATTTAAAATCTTTCAACATTCAATCATGTACATTTTTTTTTTGCTTATTCCATGCCTTGTAGGTCCCTCGCCACTTCTATTACACCTCTCCATACTCCATGTACATTATGAATCATTTATTCACAGGAAAATAAATAAGCTCACTTTGATCAGGGCCAAATATAAATAATAATAATATATTTAGCCATGACTATTACAACATATTCCAATAATTATCAGTTTTAAGAAATGCATGTAGGTACTGTAGATTAGTAGTTATAGTACTATTATAAATTAAATGGAATCAATGTATAAAACAGTAGTTTTTGTAGCTTCAAAAAATTGAATTCACCTAAATTACTTAAACTTCCAACGCTGAATARTGAAAAAACAGAGGAACTAATACCTGGGTTTCTTAATATTAAATATTTATGATATTACCCAACCATTATTCTATTCATATTTGAATGGTAATACATCAGTATAATTATTATGAGTAAAATTTATAAATCAACACGGTATATGAATATATAAATTTCAAGATCAAACAAATATATTTTTATCAAACTAAATTAATTTATAATAAAACATAGTTAATACCTATGTTATTCCTTAATTAATTTTAACCATGAGAATCTTTTAATAGTCTAATATAAATTATTCAATTTTCTTCAATTTTAAAACAGCTTCCCTCATTTTGGTTATCTCGTTCTCCACCACATCTTGACATAATGTTCCTTCTTCATCAAAATAGTTTGAAACTGATTTAGATATTTCACGTTCTCTGACATCTCCTCCAACAGTATCCTTGCGCAACAGGGTCAAATAATACATACCAGTATGTTTTTTTATATAACTGCTAGCTTCCCAAACAACATCTGGATTAAAACCGCTTTCATCTCGTTCTAAAGTCACGGCAAATATGCCTTTTTCCATGTATGTTGTGTATAATGTGATTGCACCCATGGTAATGAAATAAAAAGCAACACATACCGTAAGAACAGAACGGGATTTAGGGAACGGATTGAAGAAATCCCAGCCAAGTGCAAACCCAGCGACCAGCACAGCAAATGTGCATATCAGCAAACGATAGTCAATCAATGAAAAGTCCTCAACATGATTATATTTTGTAATCAATACCTCCTTTACTGCGTCATCCAAAGCATTTTTTAAAGCGAGGTAATCCCATTTATTGATCTTGATTTGTTTATCGTCCGTATTTGATTCCTCTTTGGCCATTTTAACTTGTATAAATTAACTTATAGATTGCTTTAAATATGTTGATATCTCTTAAATATTAGATGTATTCGGAACAAWTAAGTATCAACGTATAATCCAATGTAGAACGTATGTGAGGAACAATGAACCGCTTTCCAATATCACAAAGATTRGTAAATCCAGTTGGCAGTAAAGTTAATATTCTATGGTAAAATTAAGGCTTTAGTGTTTACAAATTGGTGTTTGTTGCACTTAAAACAATAAATATGCCGAATGCCGACTCAATTGATGAATCACCAAATATTCGAAATATTGATACCACTATCAATAAACGTAGACAAAATTACGGTGTTACCACAGAATATATTATTAAATTTAATTTATGACATGTTGCCACGAAAAGAAAAATCAGAAGATTCAAAAATAATTAGATATTAGATATTAAACATTTAACATTTTTACTTTTTAGTGCCTGAGAAAGGCATCAATGGCAATCAAGTTTTCTATTTAATATCAAACAATTTTACACGGAGGATTGTTTAAATTGATTATAGAGAGAACTAAAGACGTGTATAAGGGAACTGGCCTCCTTGGAAGATCAAGACTATTTTTTTTTTTAACAAGATACATTTAATATTTATTTTAATAAAGGAGCATTGCGTAAGGATGTGCTTCATATGTGCAAATTAAAAGAGTTTACCAACAATTGATTGAAATATAAAAACTGTAACTTTGCCCAGTTAAGTTTTTTTTCTAAACTAATTTTAATAACTTGATGAACTACGGGTAATTAAATATAACAATATATACGTTAGAATAAATGTACTGTACTTATTAGTATTTTGAAATATTATAAGTATTATTTTAACAAATATTAACATAGTTAAAAATAAATTCTTAACTTGATTTTTTTCCAAAMCGTCAACAATGCAGAAAATTATTATTTGTTTAATATTAACATTATACATAGTTATATGCTTATACCATCGCAAATGTCGACGTACKCAATGATAACAAATAACAATATTCTAATTATTCTTAATCAGATAATGAGTTATGAACGTTATTCCTTACCTATTCACTTTGCTCGGGATATCCAATACATCCGGCTAGTCCTCCAATGGCCTTTTTCTTCTTTTCCTATGTCCTATATATAATATTATTATATGTCTATGATAATGATTTACGAAATCATTCATGATCATTATTCAGTTCGGAAAATCTATTCCAAATGATGCTGTATTGCTGTGCATTGCTATGCCGTCACGAAAAGTTCGTTGTTTCTCTTGTAAACCTACTGTATTAGAACACAGGGTAGGTACCGGTTTCTGTAGGTATTTCGCGCTGTGCAGTGTCGTACACATATTTACATTGATTTCGAAACATCATTCCAGCGCAAGGCAGCCTAAAATATGTTGTTTTTTTAATTTTTTAGATGTGGTAAAACTTTAATGTATAAAATTCAGTTGCACGATTTTAAATTTGTGTATAGATACACATTTACATAGAATAGYTGTTCTTATTTTTATGAATCACTAATCGTATCATCTAGACACCACGATCTAATTAAAATTAAATATTAGTTACCTATTTTTTAAGATTATATACATATATATATTTTTTTTTTTAATAATAATAATCAGGTACCTACCTATGTAATTATTTAAAAGTTAAGAAATCGTGTAATTTTAAATAGGGTAGGCAGAGCTTAAACTACAGTTTACCTAGGTATATTCTTATTAATTTGTAGAGCTGATAAGAATATTGTATTAATTATTTATTTGTTTTTATTGAAGTTCAATTTTTTTTATTCATTATTAAACAATAATGTAGGTAAATGTACCTATATATGTATAATCATAATTCAGAGTAATTTGATAATATAATTTGTATTATATATAGATTAATATAGTATATAAGTATTGAGTATTATTTTTAATTATAATCAATAATCGATAAAATTGTAGAAATAATGGGTAAAAGAATAATGTATCATAATTACCTATGTAAACTAGCCAGCAGGAATATAAGGATATTTATATCTAGGATTTCCTAAATCAGACTTGGTCATATTTTAACACAATTATTGTTTTATCTACYTATATCAACTAGATCTGAATATGAAATATAAATATAAGAACAATATTTAATGATGTGAAATATAATATAATATTTTTTTAACAATGACCTTGTTACTCTCTAAGCGAATCAAAGCGCGTTGGCCGTATGTTGCTTTGTTGATACAAAATCAGAAAATAAATATATGATTATATTTAATAGAAATATGATATAACAATCAGAATTATTTTCAAGAACCTTATTTGCCGAGTGTTATATAAAAGTTATAAAACTGGTGTATTTTTTAAGTTTAACCTACTATATTACCATTACCTCTACGTATACCTACCTAGGCTATATAGTCATGATAATACCATACCATATATATTGACAAGTCTAGTAGGATGGTTGTTTAAAGAAATGAGAATTAACTAAATTAATTAATTCATTTGGTTGTATATTTTATTTAAAAAAATATCTTATCATAATATTATGCCTAAATATTATTTTTATTGGTAATTACTATAATTAAGAATTATGTTCTTTAAAYTCACCGTTGAAGTGGCTATGTAGTATATATAGGTACAATACATTACATACTAACTACTAACTACTAAGTACTATTATTATCAACCGATTTTTGATTAAATATGATGTAAAAGAGCTATGATCTTTACAACATACTTATACATGAATATACGATACCTACCCTTTAACCTAGTATACCTATCTACAAAAACATCAGCAGGAGTAGGACGACGATGACTACGATGACGATAGTCGGWACTCGCCACTCGGTAGTCAGTAAATATAATATATGAACTGTATAATATAGGTTTATATAATGCTTATAATGCAGGTTTTTTTAACCACTTATTCATTCGCTATCTCTGCACGATATTGTGTAGGTAATGTTATAACTTATAATTAYAAAGTAATATTCTCAAGTTTGAATAAATATCTAATTGATCTTGAGGTGCATAATTTATTAATATATTATGTTAAGATAGATTAATAATGTGTTAGTGTCTCATCATATAGAATATTATATGAAATGTGGTCTTACTATGTAGTTTGTCTTCGTAGGTACTAGCAGGTACATCATATACTTGTGACGTGTCCGGCGCTTACTATTATGAAGCTTATTATTATGTACCTACTTTAATGACGTACCTACCTTGTCTACAGTATTTTTCAATACTTCTTATTTGTGCTTTAGTCAACACGTGTTGAAGACGTTACAATATATTAACGTAATCAGTAATCATATTCAGGCCATTCAGGGGCGTAATTAAGTGGAAATGAAGAGGATAAATCCCTACTGCTAACATTTTATATTTGGTGGGGTACTGATGGGGTAGGTTACTGCACGAGGATTACTGATTTTGCTAAAAACACATAATCCCCCGCAAACTAAATTCCTAACTACGCCACTGATCACATATAACACACATCTGTAAGTTTAGTGTCTATAGGTATAAACAAAAAAAAATGTAAATAAAACATAATATTATATGTAGTTTAATATTTACCCTATGACCACTAAGTATATCGTATATGGTATATGACATATGTTAATAAACTCGATTCTTGTACAAAATATAAATTTTAACATTTGTGAGACTACGGTATGTCGACTATGTCGGTATATGATGGAATATTGTATAATTGCAATGATATATTTATCCAAAACCTGTAAATCTGTTTCATTGTTTCAATAATTATTGATAGTAAAATTTATAGACAGCCCTTATAAACACTGCTACTTTATTGGATGATTAATTAAACCATTTATGTCATCTTAAAATAATAGAAAAGTTTTAATCTTTTAAAAATTATCTTATCTATATTTATACAAAATCAATGTGCAAATACAGATTATGTTTTTAAAGACTAAACTTTAAGTTTGATAATAGGTTATTTCACATTCACTGTAGTAATATTATAACATCAATAGTGTTGCTAAAAGAAAATTTGGTATGCTGGAGTCCAGCAGCTGGACCTGATGGGTCGTGAAAAAAACACATAATTTGTTGATTACTAACAACAAGCTCTGTAAAACAAACAACAACAAAAAACTACGGCTTTACAATAATTGACAATCTTAAGAGTTAAGACTGATAAGAAATGAATAGGTTTATTATTATTTATTAACAACAGTAAAGTAATTGTATTATGTAACAAAATTTACCTACATTTATTATTACAAAAATACAGAATAATGATATATATTTTCTGTATGTATTTCTGTGTGTACTGCAGTTTAAATTGTATTATCTATTACTGGCTATTATTATGATTTATGGCCATATA